CAGTGGCGGCAAGCTTTGGGTGATTGTAGACGCAGTCCACTATAACCTGGATTGTTTCATCAACAAACACGCAGGCTTTCTGCATCTAATGAAGCAAATTAAACGATGGGAATTATTGATGGGAATAATGACTAATACAATTACCCATGTTTGATTGGGTAATGGTATTAGCGACCCGCCAGTTTTCACCCTATCAGCTGGCTGCTTTTAATTATATCTTGTTAACAAGTGTTTTCATGACAGCAATGATGGGGGAATCCTTAATCAATTTGGCTTCGCTTGATTTTTTGTGGGTTTCACATTTCTTAGCTGGGAGTGCCGCGGCCTTCAGCTTCTTAGTTACTAACGTTTGTATAAAGTAAGGTTCTGTGTGTCGCGGTGGACGGGGGTCGGCACTCCCGGTCGCTGGTTGATGGGTGATGGGATGGTAGAAAAATAGGTGGGATCCTGTCTATTTTGTCTGAAACACAGATGTGGCAGGCAATGTGCTTCGTGTAAGGAAACTGTGGAAAGCAAATTGCATTCCGTCGCCAAACTGACTCATGATCGGGCCGATTTACAAGCTGGCGTTAGCAGTTAAAGTGAACCGCTGAAATGCGTTTTACCGTGCGGCATAACCCTCCGTCTGAACCATCCTTGTCGCTCTATGAATTTGGGAGGTGTGAGGACAATTTAAGTATTTTTTTCTGGGTGGGGGGCCGGTCAGTCCACACCACCCAACCCGGGGGACGGAGCTGTCCGCGCAAGGACGACTGGATGCGGTTCCAAATGCGCAGCACCGCCCGGCCGTTCGTGACGCTGATTGGTCGACGCCGGCCGCCCCACCCCCACGTGACCTGTTCTCTTCAGATCGGGACCGCGCCTGTAATCGCCAGATCGGACCGGTCTGAACCGCCCCGGGTGATCCGGCCCATGGAGCCGGCCACCCGTGGAGCATAGGAATGAGATTGTTAACAGGCGGAGAGCAGCGGCATGATCATAGCAAGCCGGCTAGATGCATGCTAATTGAATATTGAGGTTGGGTACCTGTGCATTGCTTTATGCCTGTTTTTTTACCAGGAAAGGATCGGTCAGCTATCTTAAGTAATGGTGCACTGGATGTAACATTACGGGATGTGGATATCTTGTACGTATTCCACTGCGGCGTGGATATTTTTCATGGCTGCATTCAACGCACCAGGCCGTATGACAATCAACGGCCATTTGTAAGCACCTGCTTTCAGACGGTGTCTAGGTAAGCTGTTGAAAAGGGCCGCTACCTTAATAACCCCGAGGACAAAAATATTCACGTAGGATAGTGCTGTCCGCAGGTTGGACCTGACCATCTCAGGGGCCTGTCTGTTGCCAGTCGGCGAAGTCCCCAAAATCGTGAGACCCAGCCAAAGGTTCTGGTCTTCCGACGACCTCACAGCGCCCGACCGCGCGAAGCCCGATGTGGTTTGAGGTACTGTCGGCCCAGAACCCCGGACCGTCTGGGATTTCCTGGTCGGCCGCATTCATATGAGGGGCGCCTTTTTCGGTGGTTATGCAAGGTAGTACGTGTACGACTATCCGCTCCAGTCACAGTTATTGTTGCCAGATGGCGCCTTTTCCCTTTGGCTGGTACTGTGCGAGCAGTGACAGTACGGAAGCGATGTGGCATAGCCCATGGCGCATATAGTCATGTCAGTGATGCCAATTTTGCTCAGTGAATGGGAGCTGTAGCTTGGCAGATCCAGGCACGAGGGCAACGCCGATAGCGTGCATAGGACCCATTTGCCTTGTCGGGAATTAGGCAAAGTGCACGTCACCGAAATAAGACATAAGACAGCTCTTGTTGAACTGTAAAGAACGTGTGTTGATTCGAAGGCTCCAAGAATAAAACTGAAATAGAATCCTCAAAACATTTTTACGAACATTTTGTCTAATCAATCTTCGGATGAACCGCATACATAATTAGGCTTTATGAAATTGCACTAAGTGGGACTCAGGAAACTCCGCAGGTAAGCGTACACTTGCATGCACGATGGTGCTTTGGTATGCATACGATACTTCATCAAAACCAACAGCCAGCTGATAAGCATCGAGGATTTCGTCGCACCAAAAACAAAAACCGAACAGACCTCCTTCGATACCAGATTTCGAGCAGCAGCTTTTTATCACAGTCAACAATAAGCGGCATATCGAGTGCCACTAGAAGCACTGGGGCCGTATGGGCTCTGCTACGAAAGGACCGCGGCCAGAGCTTAGTATTCCGGTCCAAATATCTCCTGAAACAACTGCGCAAGCATAACACTAAGCCGCAGTCCTAAGAGAAGGAATGGTGGGGAGCTGAATCTCTAAACCTTTTCTGAGCTAACGTTGAAAGCATTGAACTCACCAAACAGCTCTTAGCTGAACAGTTTAGGTAGCGAGCCGAAACATTGTTCTTTTCAACTACAGCTGACGCAGGACAATGATTAATTTGTTTCCGGTGCAATGACTGGATCGGCTGGCTGGTCTTGACCGCACGTGACATGAGCGGAGTACTGCAGCGTAGCGTAGACGCACGGCATCAGTGGCGTCGCTCGTGCGCTGGGCGCCGGCCGGGCTCCGGGAGGGGCTCATGCCGAAGACATGATATCTGCAGGTATATCCTGAAGCTCGGTTGCTGCTGCGATACAAAATTTCATGAGTGCCGGAAGCAAGCGCTGTAAATTTTTACATACGCGGTGAAAAACATGATCTGGCGTCACATGCCTACAGCACAAAAATGGTAATTCAGAGTGGGATACATTCATGTCAGTCATTTTATTTCATGCCTGTGACACGAAATGTATTCATGCAAAAGATTCACCGAGCCTTGCAGATTCATGCCATGCATTGTTGGCGCCTTGCCATCACTCAGGGAATGCTTTTAGCACGTGCTCCACGTGATCCGTTTTTGGTAGGAGACAGAGATCTGTGCGCCTTGCCACTTAACTGACAACTTTTGCGCATTGTTTTACAACCGATACGCATCATGTGTGATTCTGTGCGTTACTTGCCCAAAGGCATTCTTCAGATCACTGAGGTCCTGAGGATTCTTCCCGTAGACTCGGAATTTCATACACTCCATGGATAAATTCATAGAGGGGGTGAAATTCGGAGAATGAGGCGGTTACGGATAGTCCGTCTTTCGGCTGATGGTGCGCTCTACGGAATGCTCCTCGGCAGCAAAGTCAAGGGCGCTCATTACGGGTGAGAAGTCACCCGCCATGCTGGAACTCAGCCCCGCATCATATAGCACAACACGTGCTATTTGTGCTCGCAGCTTGCACTCAAGGCATCAGAGTGGTCGAAGGTCAACTGATGATCGTTGATGCCATGAATGGTGCCAGCACCTGGCATACGTCAGCGTGTTCGTGCATTCGTGACGTTTATTTCTTGTATTCGTGCTTGGCGTGTACGCCAGGCACGAATAATGCGATGATCATATTTGTTCTTGGCCTTTAGCACTACATCACCCACTAGCTGGCGGTATTGGCATGACGTTGGTACGTCGTAATAATTGTCTGGGTGACCTCAAAATAGTCCGGACAAAATAGTCTGCACAGGTTCGTAGGCGTCAGGCTCAGAAACAAGAGAGTTTTGAGCCTTCTAGAGGGCATGGATGTGAACTGCACTGAATGTTTTTTTTCAGATGGATATCTCCAAACCTCATTCAAATGTGCAAAGTTGGTTTTTGTTGTACTCTGCTCCATTGCTGCGGGTCAGACTATTATGGGTATGTTACCTTAGCGTTGTTCATCGTGCTCCGTAAACGTGTGTCTCTTCGGTGTCACATGGATCATGTGTTCCTCCCATTCCCGAAGCCAAAGTGCGCCTCGAAAAGGGCCACTGTGGTTAAACGCCATAGGGAAGAAATAAAAGCCATAGCATAACGTTTTGTGGAATTCGGGGGATAAAAGCTTCATGTTCGCATATCGGTCTGTCTAAAAAAGTGTTTTACACTTTCGCAGCATTTATTATCCAAACGTTTTACACCTTAGCGTGACGCAATCATTACAAAGCACGCGCGTTGGAAAAAGCAAGGTGAATGAACGCATCAGTTTAATTTCATAGCGGTGAGCAGGGCGTCAAATGAGATCTCCACCAGCAGGGTCGGCTGCTTCAAAAATAAATTATAGGCTGTTCGGAAGGATTTCTAGAGAAGAGGTCTTCCATATCAAATTGCACGCATATGATGTAACAATAACTGAGGTGTACAAAAAGTGGGATACTTCATTTAAATCAGTCACGAGGGCTGCGATTTGTTTCTCCCAGAGAAACAAATTTTCCAAACAGGGTCCCAAATCCAAAAAAAGCCCTTGGAGCAGGCTGTTAAGATTTTCTTTCCGACGATATTTCGTTCGCATTTTCTTTTCAGCCTATTTACACGTTTATGGCAGCTCCTATTCCCAGCCATGCATGTTGCGGTTTTTAGAGCGTGGATCGCAGTAGCATGAACCTAAAGAATGGTCAGGGGCGTGATTTCGCAACGTGAGTTTGGAACTGAATAGTGAAAATGACTGTCAGTCTCTAGATGTAGTTACAAACAGTTTGGTTTCTCCGCAAATCATTGTAAACTCATGCTAAGCTCTTACGTCTCCTTGAATTGTCAGAGAATCCCCACCAACGCAAGAGGCCCTTAGACATCCGGGGTCTAGTCCCTGTCTGAGTTCAGCAAGTGCTTCCCTAGCCGACTCTAGGCCCCTTGCTGACACTGACACTGCTGACTTGCTGACAAATGGCCCTCAGAAGACTTGTTAGAAACTGTTTCTCTGACTGACACTGGGGGCCATCATTGACTCGATTGCCTCGATTGATATAAATCGTGGGGCCCGGTCTAGACCCTGTTTGTGAAATGGCCCTCAGTTCACGACAGACGCGGAGCCAGCCGTTCCTTAATATAAATGCCTCACCAAAGTTATTTAACAGCTGCTTCCATTCCATGACTTCGCCCATATTTGTCACGGCTGCGTCAGAGTTGTCTGCCTCCGACTTCCAGGGCTATTTTTGGATTTCGAAGGCCTGTTGTTGCTGGCTTGGCAGGTTTGTTTCCCCTGGATATGTCAGTGGTCCTTTTTCCTTTGAATGTGATGGTGATACGTGCTTGGTCCACTAAGGGACCTCCTTGGCGCCGTCTGCCATCAGGTGGTCAAATTGGGACACATTTTGGGAGCAATCTGTTGATGGAGTTAGGGTTTTATAATAGATCATGGTTCAGCCTTTCAATTCTGTTTATAGGACTATGCCCCATTGACATGACTTTCATGTCACACCAGAGGCACTGGAATTCTTTGAACTAGGGGAGGTAATTTCATTGGGCCTCCATAGCATTCTAAAAATGAAATTTGCCTTGTGGCCTCTGGCTGATAAAATTTTAAAAGGTGTGCTGGGCTGCTAATTAGGATTGCTTCTTTTTTACTGTTCCTCCATGTGCTGCACTGATTTTCCACTTCCCTCAGAATTTATCACAGCCAGTAACTGAGGAGTTGGCTGGGTCAGATGATGCCATGTGATATCAGGGTGGCATGCTGAACTGTTCAGTTTTCTTAGCAATGAAAGTAAAAAATGGTCAGTTGGAGAAAGCAAGTAATGAATTGGATGTCTTTGGCAGTTGTGAATTTCACACTAAGCAAGGCTGAGGTAGTCTTACACAGATAAAACCAGCCCATGCCACCTTACCACATTTATTTTTGCTGCATGCTGGTTTTTGCATTGCATAGAATATCTGGGAATCAACTTCTGGAGCACTAACCAGCTAGATGTTCCAACATTTCCTTGGATATGGTATTTACAAATGTCATTGCTTCATTGGTGGATTTTTTACTAGTGGTTGAGGTTTCCTTGATTTATATGTAAGTTGAATTAAGTAGATCTGTTTTATTGGAGCATGGTAAACTAGAATGATTGGCTGCTTGGAATCACAAACATTGGCATACAAGGAGCTTTGTAATACTGTAGTTATATTGAAAATTGCAAGTTGCAGGCAAGAAATAGAGAGAAAAAAATGAAATAAAGCATTTAGTGGAATATGCTTGTTTGTGTATATGGTGGCATGCTCTCCGCATATCTAACACATGTGCATTTCACTCAGTTATGATGCAATGGTAGCATACTCCAGCTTCATGCTATTTATGTAGCACATGTTTTCTGGATGTAGGCCATTTGAAAATGCTAATGTTATTGTGTCATGTATGTTATTACATCATGTAAGCAAAGGGTGCTGAATTTAGTATTTTGGTATTTCTGGGCTCATCTTAGTTTTACCATCATTGTTCTGTTGTACTTTCATTTGAACTGCTGCACCAGATAACATATGTGCCAAGAAAAGCTGCTTGCTTTTTATGAAACCAGCTTTTCATAAGATAGTTTCATCATGTGTCCTAGTAATTTATCTGTGCCTTTTCAGACATTGTAATACAAGAAGTGTATGTTCAATAACAAGTGGAACTATGGCAAAGCTCCTTGGTTTAGATAAAGTAGCAAGACTTTTTCAAATTATCAAAACAAATGGTGGCATAAGATCCAGCTTATACAAACTATACAGGTATGTACTTTTGTGGCCCAGTGTAAACATGTGTGCTGTGTGTTCCAGAAGTGGGGTGATACAGAATGTATAGACATTGCATGTAAGTGGTTATGCTTGTATGCCATGTCTGTGGCAAGCTCTTTTAATTTGCCCAATTGGAAAGTGCCAAACAAACAAAGCTGGCAATGTGCTTGCAAGCAAGAAAGGCCTGAAGCTTCTGATTTTTTCAGCATTGTGAATTATTGTGCTTGTAATATAATGACCTGTTGTTGGTTGCTCATGAGCTTGTGCCTTAAGGAGGTCACAGCCTTTCACTGAATATGTTGTGGAAGATTTCTGTGATAAAATTCATTGATTGAGATAGATGTTTGACTTTTTAGCTACAGCCACTTTTTTAAATCACTGAAATGGTTTGCAGCATTTCCTAATTTACTGCATACATCTTTATTGAGCCATCTCCAACATTTTGTTTTGACCATTGCTTCCTGGTATGGTGAAGGTCATTATGATCAGAGTAAGCAATCAATAACCATAAACAATGAATAATCATGTAAACCTTCTTTTAATATGCAGCTGCCAGGAATGCACACAGCCTGTCTGTGTCTTGGAAATGACATGCATGCTTTTAAACTTTGATACAGTTAGGTCCTCTTCCATGGCAGGTTCTCTTTTTCAAACTTGAATTGGTGGCCATAAATGATTTAGAAATTATTAATTCTTTACTCACTAAATATCTTACAACTCACTAATGGTCAGAATCTGCCTTGGGTTTGGGTTAAATGCCTCCCCCTTCCTGCCAAAAAACAACAGGGATTTGCCACATAGGTGTGTTTCTTCCTCTTCAACTTTGTTTTTGTGAGGTTTGAAAACCATTTCAGGTAAATGTATGGAGTCCCAAAATTATGGAAATTTGCTGTATTACATAAACATCTTGTCATGTTGTTTTCTGGCCATGGTCCAGAGGGGCTGCAAATGGATATATTCTGCAAAGTATGCATACTTGCACAAGACCTGAATTAATGTAAAACATCAAGTGTCAGGCAGTGTGCCTTCTGTGATGTGATATAGATGATTGTTTTGAAACTTAATGATATAGCTGGCTTTGCATTTTTTAGTTTTTGGTAAGGCCGTGGATGTTAGCTGACACCAAGCAAACATGAAAACCAACAACAAACCAGAGCAGCTGTATTTATGCTTATTAGTGGTCCAGGTTAGACTGCGCACCAGGCCGCCGTGCTGCGATGGTGTACTGCAGAGCGCAGCGTCGTGCGGACCCGTGCCCAGCTCGTCACCTGTGCGGTGTGGCGGTGATGACCGGCCCTCGCACACACACACACACACACCTGTTACCAATTTGTCTAGTTCTTGAGGCATAACCTTCCTGTGTGATTGCAAGTGCATCGCTTCAAGTTCGCTTCAAGAGCATCTACAGCCTGAACCTATGGCGTCGTGCTCACGTGCTAGTGTTCCCAATTATGTACCGAGACCGGAGCGATGCGTGTGTTTTACGGAGCTGTGATCGGACCGGACACATGTGGCAGACATTCACGGCCCTCACCTCCAGGTTCGACGATTTGAGGCTGGGAGTTTTGGTCGGCTCGGACAAATACGGCAACAAGTACTTCGAAAACGACATGTACTTTGTCGGTAGGTGATATTCGATCGGGCCATGAGTTTGCAAGTGCTTGCGGCTGTTCACAGCCGAATGCTCGAGTTCTCCGCCCAACGCCGCTCATTATCTAGCATGCTAGCTGCGTACGGGAAAACCAGCGCAATTGCAGCAGTTATGAAGGATTGCCGGCGGTGTCATGGCTACGATGGTGTGACAGCGTGTCGTGCCACGCGGTACTCGCGCGTAACAGAACAACTTGCGGCTGAGATCGCCGGCGGTTGGGCCGCTGCGTGGCCGCTGCCCCCGGCCGTCTGTAACGCGTCCTCTGTTTCCGGCGGACAGGCCGCAACCGCTGGGTGGAGTACGCCCCGGCCGTGGGCACCGACTACGACGGCAGTATGGTGCCGCCCGAGTGGTTCGGCTGGTTGCACCACAAGACGGATGAGCCGCCCACTGTGGTACGAGCTCCTCCCGCCCGGTCGACCTTCCCTCCGGCCCGATCGAGCTCCCCCCTACCCACCCACCCTCACCAGGTTCGCGCTGCCTTCGGCCCGGTTAAGACCCCCCTCCCATCTGGTCGAGCTCCCCCCCCCCCCTGCCCGGTCGAGCTCCCTTCCGCCGCGTGCGCGGGCCCGCAACCCGCGTGTCTGTTCGCCGTCTGCGTTGGTCCGACTGTATCCAGCGGCCCGAACCGGCCTATTTTCGCAGTGATTTTCGCGTCTGAGGTTCAGTCGTTAGCGTCACTGCAACTGGCGTCAGCCCATGGCGGCCTGGCCGTGCCCTGTACTGTGCGCCCAGTCCTGTGGTCCTGCTCTGTTGTCATATCAGCTCGTCCTGCCCTGTCGTGACATGAGCTTGTGATGCGACGTTTAACGGCACGGTCCCGCTCTGCCGCAGAAGCCGCCCGTCAGCCATCCGTGGATGTTGAAACCACGAGGCGAATCCGTCGGGATCGACGGACGCGTACTACCCTTACACCACCACCAAACCCAAGATTCAGGCCTGGGTGGCCGCCCAAGAAACAGTAGATGCTTGTCGATGGTCTGTTGTATGTATATATGTATAGTGGCCTACACGGGAGACGAATACAGAGGTGAAAAGGCAACGCTTTGCAATGGACCCCACTAAACGCGCTGACGTCGGCCGACGCTGGTGACCTAGTGAATGCAGGCCATGAAGCCAGCCGAGCTCCAGCAGTAGGAAAAGCCTTTTATTCACGTGGTATGGTGTCCCGACACGGTCCGGTAGCTGATGCAGATAATCGTCCGAAGCGTCTGCTGGAATATAGCAGCTGTTATCCAAGCTGGAACGGCCATGTTCGCTGTGAATCTGCTATGAAACAATTGCCCAAATTACGCTGGGACGGCCTACGTTTCTTGGGAGCCAATAGTCGCTTGCTAGACATAGTTGGACGGCGGACCCCCTTCCATTTTAATGTAGAGCCTGGCTGTCTTGCCTTAGTATGATGTATGGCTGGGGCATGTCCGGTGCCTGTGATTGATGTAAGCCGTGGCCCTTGCCTAGGTATCATCCAGAGCTCGAACCATTTCGGAGCCTGTAAGCTTGCCAGCCACATAGGCCCGGCTTTAAGCCGCGTACTGCCTGACCCATGGTCAGTGAGGCAGTAGGCCCGACCCCTGGCGAATACGGGCATGGGAGCATCGCTAGCAAGACGCGACGAGAAACGGAGCCGTCCGACAAGGCCGCATGTCCCCTGCCGTCCTGCTGCGGAGCGAGGGCTCGGCCGAGGCTGACCGCGTCAGACAAGGTCACATATCCGCTGCCAACCTGGTGCGGAGCGCGAGCTCGGCCGACGGCTGGCTCTGCGTCGGATAAGGCCACACGTCCGCTGCCACCCTGCTGCGGAGCGCGAGCTCGGCCGACCGCTGTCTCTGCGTCGGACAAGGCCACATGTCCCCTGCCACCCTGCTGCGGAGCGCGAGCTCGGCCGACTGTGTGTCAACAAGGTCACATGTCCCCTGCCACCCTGCGCGGGCGCAGCTCGGCCGACCGCTGTCTGCGTCGGACAAGGCCACATGTCCCCTGCCACCCTGCCGCGGAGCGCGAACTCGGCCGACGGTTGGCTCTGCGTCGGACAAGGCCACATGTCCCCTGCCACCCTGCTGCGGGGCGCGAGCTCGGCCGACGGCTGGCTCTGTGTCGGATAAGGCCACACGTCCCCTGCCACCCTACTGCGGAGCGCTAGCTCGGCCGACTGTGTGTCAGACAAGATCACATGTCCCCTGCCACCCTGCTGCGGAGCGCGAGCTCGGCCGGCGGCTGTCTCTGCATCGGACAAGGCCACATGTCCCCTGCCACCCTGCTGCGGAGCGCGAGCTCGGCCGACGGCTGGCTCTGCATCGGACGAGGCTACGTGTTCCCTGCCACCCTGTTGCGGAGCGCGAGCTCGGCCGACGGTTGGCTCTGCGTCGGACCGCGGCACACAGCGCCTGCTGGCGCTGAAGCGCGCCCTGTGGCCGGTCCGCGTAACGCACCAAGATCCAGGAACCACACAACCACTGGTGCACGTGCCGGCGGGCTAAACAACACACAGCTACAAGGGCGTTATATTCTGCACTAACTCACATTTGCAATCTGACAGAAAAATACACAGCTTTCAAGCCAGTATAAAATATCCAACAGGGCCTGGTGAAAACAACGCCAGGCTGATAGACCAGCGCGTCGCTGACGAACAAGCTTCATTATATATGGCGATCGAGATGAAAGTGGGCATAGTTTACGTGCATGGACACAGAATTGCATTGAGACCTATCTACCTCCGTGGGCGGGACCGCGGGGCCGGTTCACAGAACACTCACACGCTAACAAACCGTCTACCTTGATACGTCTGCCGCGTGTAAAGCACGCCGCCTCAACACCCATTGCGGGTGCGCCCGCGAGCTTGTGATCAGGTGGTCGCAGAGCCGTTGCCGGCCAAAGTATGTAAAGGAGCACTCCAGTACAGCAGAAGGACGAGCAAACATAAAAATGCACGTAACGAGCGCCGCATGACTAAGTGCACGGTCCGCAACTTGGGACACTTGCCGCGATCTCCCCCATGCGACGAAAAGATCTTAACCTTTCAAAGAAATAACCATGGGCCTCATTCACGCCGAACGCCATCTAAGTACTACTGGGAACGAGTGCAGACTATGCAACGCAGTCCAACAAAAAGACAGAGGCACACCACTGGCCTGGCCACGACCTAAATGCAAACCAGCTCCAGCCCGACCGAGAAATATTAAATGTGACCGTCGTATCGACACCGTTGCACCCTGCCCCGTCACGCGGGACCGGCCCATGACGTGCGCGAGGAGCACAAGTCCCGGGTTTCGCTCGGCCATAGCAGCCACAAGAGGCGGCGCGTTCCGGCGGCCGCACAAGCCAGCGTAAATGTGACGCCACGTCTGCAATGTTCTGCGCAGAGTGGCGGCGGGCGATGTGCGCACGCCACCTCATCTGACCTCACACGAGCCCAATAAAAACCGCTACACCCGCTAAAAGCCGGAAGGCACCGAGTGGTGCTACCGATGGCGCGCGTCCACGCAGTCTGCCGCGGTGCGGCGCAATCACAGCCAGGTATGGAAGGGAGAGAGAGCGAAGGGGAGGCGTTGGAGCCGCCGCCGGCCGCTCACGACCAGCAGAGGATCACGGCGCCGGCCGCTCACGACCAGCAGGGGATCACGGCGCCGGCCTCTGTAAACGGACGGAGAGAGCGCAGGCAGAGTCAGGCGCAGCCACTGGTCCTTGGTACGGTAGACGGCCGTCATCATGGCCCTCACCACTCACCACGGCCGTCATCACCGCCCTACCCACGGCCGTCATCACAGCCCTCACCACGGCCGTCATCACCCGCCCTCCCCACAGCCGTCATCACAGCCCTCACCACGGACACCATCATCGCCCTTAGCACTGCCGCTCAGAACGTCCGGCGATGCCACTGACACGACAGCATGCCTTGAATAGGACGCAAAGCATTCTGAGACGTGCTGTGAACTTGTGAACTGTAAAGCATGTAATTTCAATCCCAGTCAATGCAGGGCACAGATACACGCGTACAAGATACTCAATTGAATGTATCACAGCATATGAACATGAGCTGCATCACAATACTTCGAGTGACCTCGAACTGCCGAACAATCTTGACATCCTGGAAACAACCACAACTAGGCCTCAAAGCAGTGCAGGATACCGGCAGCAGCCTGCTGACTAGCGGAAGGGGGCGGGGCCGGGGGGGGGGCGTACCTAGGGCGGGCGCGGCAGGCGTCTCCCGCAGCTGGTCCAGCATCTGGTGCAGCTGGAGCTCGACCACGCCGAACAGGGGCCGCTGGCGGGGGTCGCCGCGCCAGCAGGCCTGGGTCAGCTCCCAGCCCAGGTCACTGCAGCTGCGCGGCCGGCACGGACGCACGCCTGCCGGCACACACACAACACACATCCAGACGGGGTCGCACACGCACACCGTCCCCGAGACAGGTCACGGACAACCCGCCCGTGTCGCCGTCTGAGACAGCAGTTCGACACGAGCCAGAAGTCGCTGATGGTTGGTCATGGAGACTGGCCGGCCTCAGGTAGGGGCATGACCCCTCGCCCGCCTGCCTTACTCGCTGAGACGGGGGTGGCACGCGGTTTAACACGCACGCAATCGCGCCTCGCACGGAGGAACACGAGACTGCGCTCAACACTTTGCCACATAACAGGACACCGGCTTTCTTTACACCCTTGTGTGTGCCGCTGGGCGTTTGCGACACACTCAGCTGCTAGGGCTATATGGCGTCGCCTGCCTATCACCCTGGCAGGAAGGGCGGGCACCGCGGGGAATCGAGTCCCGAACCTCTGGTTTTCGAGACGCGCAGTGGTTAACGCAGACGCGTTAACCACTACACTACCGACACCCCTGCACCCTTCATCCGCGCCACAAGGAGGGGCATGCGGTGGTGTGGGTAGTATTGGACATGCGGACAACGGCACATGCAACCGCCAAAGCAAGTTGTTCGGGCTGCTAAGGCTGTTATAGGATTGGGTTGAAGACAGGCCATGACGCGGCAGACGGCTTGCACTCCCGTCGGCGAGCAACCCATCATCTTAATACACCCTCGGCGGGGGTCGATCTGACCACCCCAAGGTTTTTCGGGATGATTTCCGAACGCTGCGGCATAGCCGCGCCAAATTTGGAATAGCTGTAGACATTTGAATGACAGATCTTTTGGTACCAAAAATTCAGATGCACCTTGTAAGGTCACTGCCCTATGAAGTCAGGTCATGGATTCAACCGGAGCAATTTCAAGGAAATCGTTCAATATGTTGCGACAACAAAGCGTTACACGAAGCCATACATCTCTGAGATCGCTTTTTAAGCAACAGAACAATTGAAGCGATGAAATTCAATTCACCTAGGGTCAGGTACGAAGGTCAGACCAAGATCAAAGCCAACCTGTTTTTTAACTATAACAGGACCGCATCACATATTTTCCATGGATTTCTTAAAGGCCAAACATATCGATGATCTTAAATAACGCAGGTCAACATTTCGTTTTCAGGAACATGTCGCTAAGCGTA